CCTATCTGGTTGGCCTGGAGAGCGGGCTCGAACATGACTATGCTTGCTTGCTCCAAAGTGTAACACCACCTGTCTGACATGATGGGGCTTATGGACTGTATACCACCGGGAGCATTGAGTTTCGTTCTTCCTCCCCAGAGTGAGTTTCAGGGAGAGGAGACAATTGGTCTCTCCCCAGCAGCAGTGTAAATTGCAGGGAGAGGAGGTAGCGGGCCTCTCTCCCCAGCGTCAGTGTGCATCCCAAGGAGCAGAAAGTGTCATCCTTCCTCCCCAGCGGCAGCATAATAAATTAAAGGGGCCATAGTCACAGGGTAAACGGCTGGCAAGTAGACCCATCCAAACACCAGTGGCGAAGTGGCTTTCGCCACACCTAACAAGTTTGAAACAATCATCTGAGGTTGCTGTATCTTTCATGCATATAGCCGGCCTGCATTTCGGATCTGGACCGCTCTTTTGGGTGGGATCTGTCTGATATGCAAAGGGCCCTGGTTCTTTGATTCTTTTTGTAATGGCACAAGATGAGCTAAAACCAGCTTGAGATCTGAGCGGAGACCCACTGAAGGGCAGCCTATTTGAGCTGTTGTCCGTTCTCAGTACTCCTTTGCACCTGGTTTTTTTGCTCTACCAGAGAAAGTACTCTCCCTTCTCCTTGACACAGGAAATAGAGCTGACTTTACCTTCCATTGTACTCCAGTGAAAGGTAAGCCGGATCCCTTGTGCTCCGCTGAGGGAGCTTCATGAGTTGTGCCAATATCAGGTACATATCACTTTTAAGAGTACCCTTGCTGTTCTGATATTGGTACAGACTACAACGCTCCTTCAATGAAGGGAGTGCAGGGCTGTGCAGGGAGATTTTTTGATCTTCCTGCAGGCTCAAGGAGGGCTTGTGCAGAGCCTGAGTTCCAGGCCCAGACATCGGCTCAGTGGCTCCCTGACTGAGCCCGGGCCCTAGGTTGCTGCCTTGGGTGCCTAATGGGTAATCTGGCTCTGCTCACATATAACTGTCTTAGTATTTGTACATTGTCTTTAGTTTTAAATACATTTACCACACTTTAGTCCATATTCTCTCTCGATTTAAATGGAAACCTGTCATGATTGCTTGTCTTACAGGTTTACGTTTATTGCCTCATTTTGAAGCTGCATCTAAACATTTTTCTATCTACAGTCCTATGTCAGCTGCTGTGCTTCCGTTAATACTGTTAAACATGCCGTAATTCTCTCTTCTGACCCATTCCCAATTCCTATTCTACTTCCTGACATTAGGAATCCTAGAAATGCTCACTCAAGCAAGGCACAGAGTGACATCTGATTGACATTAAACTGGTCCTCGCTTGAGCAATTGCAGATACTGCTTGATGCATTGATTATGAATGCGTTCATGGCATTGTTATTGAAAGAAACCAGGAGAAACCACCCACCCCCAAGAGGATTTTTCCTGCTTGCGTAATGCTGAACACTTATCCTGCAATGCTGATAGGAAAACATTTTATGCTATGGAATGACTGAGAGAATGTCCTGTGACATAATTTATGTGGAGTTTAAGAAGACCCATAAGTTTGCTAGCCGTATCAAATTTTAAATTGATACTGGTCAGATGTTGCGCATGGGGCATAATAAGGCAGGGAGGGGTGTATAAATCCCTGCATATAATCCCATTTCAAGTTGATTGAAACGACATTACCTGCCAGGCTGGGTACATTTATTATGAAAACAAGGTCTGATCGTTATTTTTTGCTTCTTAACTTGATTACACAGTGTGATAGCATGAACAGGGATCATATTAATCTCATTGATGTTACATAGAAAAATGAAATGTATATTGTTAACCCATTTTTGGTTTCTACTTGTTGAAATATCAACGCTCTTTTTAATTTTGACTATATCTGCAAAGTTTATACAGTGTTCAGCTAGTACTGCGTGAACTTGGTTTTAATTCATATGCTGCAGGAGAGAAAACAATAATTAAATGAATTGTAATGAAAGCACAGTTTCTGTTATTTCTTTCAGTATATGAATGCTTGCTGCAGCATTTCATTTCAGTATGAAATAGTTGTCCTGCTAAAAAAAAAAGATTTGTTTTTCAAGTAGAAATACTTGTTTTCTCTGTGAAGGTTGTAAATGTTGGTCAGTAATTCAAAAGCACCACAATAAAACCATATTCCACTGCCCACAAACAATTGAGTATGCCTCAAATAAAAACATTCATACATTTAATTAAGGACCAGATTGTGGCCCATTGGGCCTGGTGCTGACAATTATGATGGGCCTAATTACTCAATCTTATTGACTGAAAACACTAAAACAGTCATACCTCCCAAGCGTCCTGTATCTGTTGGATGTGGTGCTGGAGACAAACTCACAGGATATAGCTATACGAAAACACATACCCTATGCTAATCTCTCGCTTCCAATTTCAATGCCAATTTCTTAGGTGATTCTTTTAACTTGATACAAACTAATGGGAGTTGTTAGTGTATGCCATATTATTGAGTCCCATGGG